GAAAGGGGCACATTTCCTTATTGAGAGACCATCCGAGGCATGCTCCTCGGGAAGCAGTGTTGGTGGGTGTCTGCAGTCGCATGGAGGCTTGCTTTCCCTGCTCCTTGTATCCACTCCCCGGCAGCACCCCTAGTCAAACCTGCTCAATTAGTCATTGAGTAGCTCATCTCCAGGCCAGCTGTGCTCATCATTTCTCCCCTAGGCCTGTACTCCAGTCTCTGATGAGTGAGGGTGTTTGGAGGACAGACAGCCCTAAATGAACTATTCTGAAGAGGGTGAGATAAGTGGCGTCCTCTTCGGTGAAACATAAAGGAAAATGGAAACCTTGTGGTGTTCAGGACCTTTGTTTGGTATTTACAAGTACTGGGGTCAGAGAAAGCCTGCTTGGCAGCATTGTGAATTTGGGTGATAATAACTCTTACAAGAAATGTGACGAGCATTTCTAAAATGGATAGCTTAAGAGACCTTGTATTGAAATCAATATGTCATTCCAGTTGTACTTTTTCAGTTTGGCCAATAACTGAGCAGTACATCAGCTGTGCATGAGGAAGACTAGAGCATTCATTGCAGGGGTTAGAATGGACCAAAATCCGAGCAGCCATGGGTGCAACATGGCTTTGCTTTATGCTGTCCAGGTACCCACTGGGCTTGTTTCAGAATCATAAGGCTCCATAAGGAGAAAGTCATACTAGCTTTCCCTTCCCCCTCATTCTTTTGACTGTATTTGTCAGGATATGCCAAGGCCATGGGAAACACTTTGGCAAAGAAGCAATAGAGAATCACTGAAGGAAAATTTTGTGTTTAATTGAAGTGTTGTGTGTGTGGTAGTGCTTACACATAGCATGAGGAAAGCATGAAAAGCTGCCACCCTAGAGGAAGTTGAGATATGGGGTTTTTTAATCAGTCTCTGCAAGATAGAGCCTGCACTTAAATTCCTTCTCCCCAGTCCCCTCACACTCATCTGTCTCATGCTAAAATTTCTTTAAATTTATCTGTCCAAGTCATGTTTTGTGAGACTTATAGGTCCCACCAGGTGCTTTGTCATGTGATAAAGTCACACATATGCCTCAGAATCCCTCCATACCTGGACAGGAAATTCCAAAGAAGAACATTGATGGTTTTTTGAGAATAGGTCAGTTTTGTGTTACTTGGTATGAAAAACAAAATAGGTGGTATTCGTGTCAATATTTAATTTTAAAAAATACATTTATTAGCCGTGCAGTGGTTATTTATACATGCCATTAATCCCAGCACTCAAGAAAGAGGCAGAGAGGCAAGTGGATGTCTGAACTCCAGGATAGCTAGAGCTACATAGAGAAACCCTGTCTCCAAAAGGGGGGGATTTAAAGAAGGGTGCAGGTTGGTTTTTGAAGATATGAAAATTTAGCTGAAGGACTGCTAAGTTTTTTTAAACTAATTTGGGACCCACAGTTTTAAAAGACATCTTAGATAATAAAATGTTAAATTTATCCCTGACTCTGGTGTTATTCTCTCTTGGTCTAGACTTGCCCAATTTTGAAAGTTTAAATTATCCACTCATTTAGTATACTCTTGATGTTAAGTCAACTATTTGAATAAGTAACCCTTTAAAGGCTACTAAACCTTAGTTGTATGTAGCATATACTCTTCCTTGGTGATTAGGCACAAACTAGTTTGCTGTAAAGTTTGTTCCTTACAGAACTGGGCCTACAGCCAGTCCAGGGCTTGCTAACCATCTTAATATAGTTGTGAGTCAAAGCTCTGCACAAAAGCCCTGCTGAGTTCTTAATGAGAGAGTTCTTTAACTTTTGTGCCTCTGTTTCTCATTTGTGAAGCTAGGTTTACTGGTACCTGACTCTTGAGTGCTATGAATATTAATTAAAGTCACATTGTTTAGAATAAGAGATTGTTTGATGAATACATTGTATTACTTACCCAGGCTGCTGCCTCCTTGGGGGGGTCATTCACTGGACCTGCTCACAGAAAGCAAAGCTGAGTGGACAGCATTTTGGTAGAAATACACTGACCTAATGTTTGATCCATCCTCAGAACCAGAATTCCCCACCATTTCTCCTTTTTTTTCCTCTATAGTATTTTTGTGATTTCAGCTCCATCCAGCATGCCATTGGCATAGAGAAGTGACAATCTAATGTCTGGTTTGATCTTTGATCTGGACTTTGCCATTAAAATGCTCCAAATAGATTTTTAAGCTTTTCACAGAGGAGTCACCAGAGCTTTTTTGTGAAATAAATTGGACCTTTAGTCAACTATTTGAATAAGTACCCCCATAAAGGCTACTAAATGACCCCCTGTGGAGTTTTTAGAAGTAAATATTAGGAAATACAGGAACAATTTCCTTTGGCATCATAAATTGTCCCTGTGTCTTGCTTCAGCCTCAGTGGTAGAGATTGGTCTATCTGAGCATTGATTTATGTTTAAATGACTGTGCCTCCCCTAAGTAGGCTGTCACTGCTTTCCTGAAAGGTCACATGAGCTCTGCATGTAAGCCATAGAATGGGGTGGTCTCTGCTGAGAACAGCATCACATAGGAGTCTAAGCTGAAGCCTCACTGGGCCTACAGCTGCTGGGATTCTTTCCTCATTTGCCCTGCAGGACTTAGGGTCTTGGGTTTGTGATTCTGTGATCTGTAATATAAACCTTAAGTGTTTGGGGAAAATATTTTTTTACTTTCCTGTAATTGATTTGTTTAGTCTTTAGCAGTCGGTGCTAATGTGAGTCGGTGACCTCACATTAATTCTCTTCTGATCATTGGCGGGTGCTGAGCCAGTGGATATACCTTTTAAATAAAGAGAGAAAGCCATTTCATCATGCCCATGATAAGCGTTCTTGCCTATCTTTCTACTTGGTGGCTGCTTGTCACCTGGTGCCAAGGACAGTGATACCATTAGCAGAGGAGAGCAGAGCTGGTCCAGGACTGGTCTGCACAGTTAGAGAAAGGACCATACTTGGATCTTTTTGGTATTTTATGATCTCCAAAAGATCCTAAACCAAGCCAAAGTAAAGTAGTGTTTGGATTTGTTGTTTTTTTAAATTTGCTTTTTGAAAAACTTTACCTTGCCAGGAATGGTGGCACACACCTTTAATCCCAGCACTGGAGACAGAGGCAGGTGGATCTCTATGAGTTCGAGGCCAGCTAGGGCTATAGCAAGGCCTGGTCTCATAAAAACAAATTATCTATTAATCACTTTCCTGTTGACTCATCTTACCTAGAAGGGGAAAGGCAGCTGTAGTATAGTGTCCCTTAAGGGTATTTAGTGACTAGTAGTTTTGAACATGAGTAGTTATAGGAAGGCTTTCTTTTATTTGCCTTGACAAATGCAACAGCATGTTTGTTTAAGACCATTATTATTGTACTCTTAATTCCAGCCTGTGGAAGCCTGTTTCAAAGATTCCAGAGTTACATAAGCAGGTGTTCTGAAAACACTTCCTGTTAAGTAGGTGTCTTATACTTTTCTTTTTTTAATGGAGATTTTTTTTCTTCCTGTTAAGTAGGTGTCTTATACTTTTCTTTTTTTAATGGAGATTTTTTTTCTTAAAGTTTGAATGCCACTTAGACATTTTAGTATAAAGGACCCTCTAAAACAAAAGGGGACCACCAAGCTCAGTGGATAAAGGTGCTTTCTGCCAAGGCCGACTACTTACGTTCAATTCTTAGGACCCATGTGGTGAAAGAAGAGGCTCAGCTCCCACAAGTTGTCCTCGGACCTACACGCAGGAGCCATGATGCACACTTTTTTATTGTAATTTTAATAAATTAACTCTCTAAAGCTTGTCCTGGACCTTGTCACCTTGAGAGATTTGTTTGGAAAGAACTCTTTAGTAAATTTCAGCAATTTTACATTCTAATTTGACATTTTAACTTAGATCACCAACTCAAGAAACTGGACTAGGTAGACACAGTGGTACACACCTGTAATCCACACACGGGGAGGGGGAGAGCTACTTAGTTCAGGGCCAGCCAGGGTTCCACAGTGAAACCCTACCTGCCCCCACAGAAAAAATAATCCGAGATTTTTGTTGTTCCTGGCAAGTCTTGTGGCCTGTGTCCAGTGTCACTGTGTTTAAAGAGGAACAAACACTGTTTGCACTGTGCACAGCTTGCAAGAATCTAAAGAACTGGCTTGTAACTCCTTTGTGACTGGGCAGGATCTGAAGGATGACTTTGGTTTTTAAATACAGACCGTATTCACAAAGCAGGTCTTTCATAGACCAAACTAAATCTTCATTCAAGAGAGTTTAACCTTGCTTGTAAGTATTTTACAGATTCTGTACTTTGCTTAACAAACTATAGTCTGTAGTAGGCATTAACAGGATTTGGGGGGCAGTTTACCCTATATGTATTAAATCACCAACCATATCTCTTTTCTCGAAAGTATCTAGTAATACAGTATATGGGTTCTTATACAGTGGTGTGTAGACAGTTCCAGCCTATCTCCAGACACCATGGAAATGAACTTGGAATCCCACGGGGAAGTAAGCAACTCCAGGTGTTTTCTCCAGTAATTTCTAGAACAGTTAATTCATTTGTGACTGATTTGTTTAGGTAGAAAACAGGAACTCTCAAAAAAAATCTTTGGCAAAAGAGACAAGATAATGTGACTTTTACCTGCTTTTATACTTTGAACATGATTTAGCAGTTAATAAAACAGTGCATCAGTGGAGGCCCAGCTGCACCTAAGGTACACATGTAAAACTGCCAGAGGGTGAGTTTTCATGTGGTGTTTAAAATATCACAGATCGAGTCCCAGGAAGTGCAGAGTTTTGATTCCTTAAACCAAGCAGCCCTTGAAAGCATTTGCTGCTGCTTCCTGCTAGACTTTACACAGCCTTCGACTCTTGCAGTTGCCTGTTGGCACAAAACAAGGTGGTTCTACACAAAGAGAAACTTGGCCCTTAGTTTGCAACCCCCAGCCTGTGCTAAGCATGAACCTCATTGATTTGACATGTTAATGGAGCTGGTTGCCAGTGGTGCTGACCAGGTTTTGTTTGCTCTCTTGTAGGTATGGTTTTGTGGAGTTTGATGATCTGCGTGATGCAGATGATGCTGTTTATGAGCTGAATGGCAAAGACCTCTGTGGTGAACGAGTCATTGTTGAGCATGCTCGAGGCCCACGCCGGGATGGCAGTTATGGTTCTGGACGCAGTAAGCATTTGAAGGACATATTTTTATCAGTTACATGTCTTTGTTATAGATGCTAATTTTTAAAGTAATGTTTTATTTAAAAGTACTGATATTTAAGCTGTTTCTATGCTTCATATTGTTTAATGATGTGCTTGTTTTCCTCTGTAATGCAATTGTTTCACATATATTTATGAAAGATCTCAATTTTAATTAAAAGAATCCTTTGAGGCTAAATGACCACCTATTCCATTTGCTGACCTTGGTTACCCTTCTATGAGTGGCCCTTGGCTGACCAAAACAGGAAGCCATGTGATGACCACAGTCATACTCAGAACTGGGTGGTGAGAACCCTTTAGCTGCAGATGAGATTAGGTTCTTTTTTTTTCCTCCATGTAAAATATTCACAAAAAAATTTAATCACCATGGGTAATAGTAACTGATTTAATAATTTGTTTTTCCTAAATTGTTCTCTTTTATGTATGCTAATTTAAAATATATTAATGGACGAGTGTGTTGTTATAACTTGCTAAATTTTCATGTTTAAACTCTAGAATTAAAGGTGAGGTTAGGATTAAAATATACATGCCATTGTTTGGAGAGGGGGCATGAAGTTGCGTATTTTGAGAGTCTGCTGTGTCATCTCCATTTTACACTGTAGTAATCCGTCTGTTTGAACCTTCTAAAGGTGGATATGGCTATCGAAGAAGTGGGCGAGATAAATACGGCCCTCCTACCCGCACAGAGTACAGACTTATTGTGGAGAACTTGTCAAGTCGGTGCAGCTGGCAAGACCTCAAGGTTTGGGCTTCATCAACTTCTCAGATAAGGTTGGGCATGGGTAAGAGTAGAAAACAAGTAATTTATGCAGGCCTGGGCATTCACGGTGTAATGGTTACAGACTTCAGACCACCAGAGCGTTGGGCAGTTCTCCAGATAAAGGTCCTATATGAGTACAAAGGGCATCAAAACACCACTCCTACTTTACATAGGAGGCTAACTGCTCCAAGGAATCGTTTGTATTACATGGAATTTTCCATTGCAGACAGTGTTCTAGGGGGCTAATGGGGTGGAGCTGCATAGAAAAAGCTAAAACAGCCCATGTTTCTGTTAACCCAAGCTCGAACATTGCAGATGTCAGCTTCTAGTATGGGTCGGCACAATGAAACTGTCTAGCCTGTGTTCTTTTGTAAGTTTTGTTTCTCAGTCAGGTGTGGTATGCTTGGATAAGCGGTTAGGGCAGGAAGATCATGAATTTGAGGCCAGCTAGAACTACATAGTGAGTTCTAGAAGTGAAACCTTATCTCAGAAAGGTGGTGGGGGCTCACCCCTTTAATCCCAGCACTTGGGAAGCAAGAGTTGGGCAGATCTCTGAATTGGAGGCCACCTGGTCTACAGGGTGAGTTCCAGGGTAGCAAGGACTATGTAGAGAAACCCTGTCTTAAAAAAAAGAGGAGGAAGAGGAGAGAGTGAGTTTGGTTCCACAGGCAATTTCTCAGTTTCCCTGTGTAGCCTGGTTGTCCTGGAACTCACTCTATAGTCCACTCTGGCCTCTGACTCCTCTGTCTCCCCAAGTGCTGTGATTAAAGGCATACAGTACCACACTTGAAGGAGGCAACTCTTATAGGGGTTTACTCAAACCCATACTATGAGGCTCTCCCTAACTTTGCTTCATGAAAATATAATTCCATCTGGGTGGTGGCAAACGCCTTTAATCGTAGCTCTCTGGAGGCAGAGGCAGGCAGATCTCAGTGAATTCCAGGACAGGCTCCAAAGCTGCACAGAGAAACCTTGTCTCGGGGGGTGGGCATGATTCCATATTTGATTCTGTCTCTGTTCACTAATGACTATCTCACTGACCTTAAGCAGTTAACAACTTTGTTGAAATTTACTGTCCTTATCTGTAAGATTGATAGTTATATCTGCCTATGTGATTATAACTAGGAGTAAGCACTTAAAACATGAAAGAACATTCGATATGGAACTACTGTTAGGAGCCGTCTATTATCCATCACTAATTTGGAAGCGTGGCTAGCTGAAATAAAGTAGTGGCTCTGGGGACTGAAGAGGTGGCTCAGCAGTTAAGAACACTTGGTCTTGGGGCTAGAGAGATGGCCCAGTGGTTGAGAGCATTGGCTGCTCTCTTTCAGAGGACCCGGGTTCAATTCCCAGCATCCACATGGCAACTCACACTTGTAACTCCAGTTCCAGGAGATCTGATGCCAGTGCACATAAAAGTTAAATGTTTGTGGTTTTTTTGGGTTTTTGTTTTTTTAAATATTAAGTATACAGTATTCTGTCTGCGCGTATGCCTACAGGCCAGAAGAGGGCACCAGACCTCATTACAGATGGTTGTGAGCCACCATGTGGTTGCTGGGAATTGAACTCAGGACCTTTGGAAGAGCAGGCAATGCTCTTAACCTCTGAGCCATCTCTCCAGTCCCCAAATGTTTGTTTTTTAAAAAGAACACTTGCTCTGAAGCAGGGCTGCATTTGCACCCACATGGTGACTCAAAGCAGTCAGCCAGGCATGTGAGTTTGTAACCAGGTACAGAGGACCCAATACCTTCTTCTGACCTCCCTTAGGCCACGTGCAAGCAAACACTCATACACATATAGAAACTAAAAACGAGTAGCACTGTCCCAGCTTTTTACCAGTTGTCTTCACCCTCATCTTGTCAGGGTAATCCATTTTGGTCTAACTATGACGAATGTCCTAGTTTGGATGGTCCCCAGCCCTTTATCCAGAACCTAGACTTCTGCAAATAATTCAGATTCTGTGCAGAGGCATTCTTGATTGGATTATGAATAATGATCAAAATTTAGGTGTAACCTCCACTCAAGACAATTGAGAAACCTTCAAAAATATGCAGGGGTGGTGACTAGGAATGTTAGGTATATTAAGACACTGACAGACATGTTTGTGATATAGCAAGTAGGGAAATGCCATTAAATGACCTGCTCAGTGTCTTCAAACTTGGTCAGGACAGAACTCAGCAAAATGAACGCAGACCACACTAACACTGGGAATTAGCCGATGCCCTACATCTTAAGTTCTGCCCAGAGTCATTCCTCTCCTTTATTCATACATCTGTTCTTCGACTTGACCTGACCACACTGTCCTGAGACAATAAAGACAGAGGCCTATGGTCACTTAGACCGGTTTCAGTTGCCTTCTGTACTTTAACTTGTATTTTTTTTCTTTAGGATTACATGCGCCAGGCAGGAGAAGTGACGTATGCAGATGCTCACAAGGGACGAAAAAATGAAGGGGTGATTGAGTTTGTGTCTTACTCTGATATGAAGAGAGCTTTGGAAAAGTTGGATGGAACTGAAGTCAACGGCAGAAAAATCAGACTAGTTGAAGACAAGCCAGGTTCTAGACGTCGCCGGTCTTACTCCAGGAGCCGGAGTCACTCAAGGTACTGTTAACATTGTGAGTGGGCATTCTACAGTAATTCAACTAAGCAGCATGGACAGCCCATTCCTGTTCTCCTTTTGGGTTCTCAGAGCATGATTCCATGCGGTTCAGTAACTCAGGACTTTGATCTGAACATTTATTTGTGAAACTCCTGAACTCTTACATCACAAATATAAACAGAAGTAAAGTCCTTTTTCTGAGGCACAACTCAGTGGCCTCACCTTTCTTCTGGAGAGCTGAGCCACAGACTGGGTTAGAAGCATGTGTGGCCATTGTGCCTGTGCTTACTCTTCTTGATGAGCAAGTCTCAAGAGTAGAGGTCACCAGCCAGACCTGGTCCCTGCCTTCCCTGGAGAAAACCAGCAGTGAGCAAGTGGTGGTCATTGTGACCATTGTGACGGGTGCACAGAGCTCTCTCTCTAGAATGAGGCAAGGGTGACTTTCCCAGGATAGCTAGCTACAGCTTTTCATACATTTGTGTTGAAGTGAGGCTGTCTAGTGCATTTTCCCACAGTTTAAATTCCCTGTGAACTCAAGGCTAGGACTTGCAACATTAAAAACGGGGCATACTTCAGCAAGACTACAGCCTTAGTGCTCTGTCCTTAACTTCTGTCGCACCATAAGTAGCATCTGTGTGACTGACCACTGTCTAGAAACAACAAAGGTGCTCTTTTGGTGTCTCTGGATGAGTGTGTGTGTTGTGTTCCACTACAGTCATGATTTTAGTACTCGGGTTGATTCTCTCTGCTGTCACTGGAGCCCTGTATGTATCTTCAGTCTCCTGCCTTTTGTTCCTGTTTGCTTTCCATTCAAATGCACTTTACTGCTTCCCCATGCCTTTCCTTGTGGTCATTCTCAAACCTCAAAGTTGAAAGGCCAGTTTGGATACGATTGCAGTGGTTCTGCCTTGTTTTCCTTCCTTCCTTAGTATTTATTACATACTCTTGTGTTTGCACTGTGTTCTGAAGCACATCGTAAGTTACAGTACTTAACTGTCCCCAAGAACACACACAGTATATAATTGTGTCTTTACCAGATAGCAAAGCAATATTCATATTTACCTGGTTGCTCCATGGGTGTTTGTGCTGGAGTGTTTCCTGGCCAGGATCCGGCTCAGACATATAGCAGAGATCATTAAGTTTCTTTAACATTCTCACATATTTATTATCTTTGACTCTTGGCACTGGAATTACTAGCATGCACCACTATGCCCTACTGCTATGTGAAACAGATGGCTTTTGATTGAAAAAAATATCTTGGTTTGCTCTAGACAGCCTCTTTTTTATACAATTAAAGTTCTTTGTGTGTGGTTGTTTTGCCTGCATGTGTGCCTGCCGCCTGCCAGGGCCAGAAGAGGCATCATATCCTTTGGGATTGGAGTTACAGACCCTTGTGAGCTGCCATGCAGGTGGTCTCACTTTTGCTGGGTCCTCTGCAAAAGTAGCCAGTGGTCCTAACACTGAACCATCTCTTGAGCCACTCTAGGCAGCCTTTTATTGGCAATTTTTTTTAAGTTTTATTTTATGTGTATGGGTATTTTGCTTTGCATGTATGTCTGTGTACCATGTGCGTGCCTTGTATTTGCTGAGGTCAGAGGTGGGGAGGGTATTAGATCCCCTGGAGCTAGAGTTAAAGATAGTTGTGAGCCACCATATCATATGAGTGCTGGGAATTGAACCCAGGTCCTCTGCAAGAACAAGTGCTCTCAAACACTGAGCCAACTCTGCAGCCCCTTGTTGGTAATTTAAAGTTTTTGTTTTCTCACTTGCGTGTGGTGGTACATACCTTTAATCCCAGTCTCAAGAGGTAAGGCAGGTGAATTCTGTGAGTTCAAGGCCAGCCTGGTCTACCTAGCAAAAGGTTAATGAGACCCTGTCTCAAATAAGTTTTTCTCTCTACAGGTCTCGCTCTCGAAGCAGACATTCCCGGAAGAGCAGAAGCCGAAGTGGCAGCAGCAAAAGCAGCCATTCAAAGAGCCGATCCCGATCCAGGTGGGCCTGCACCTTCCCTCGTCCTAGCTGCTCCCATGCATTAGATTGAGCCCCGCATGCTCTGTGCGCTCTTTACTTCCTGACTTGAAGAGTGTCTAGTCACCTGTTACTCACTTAGCACCTATGTCTTCCAGGTCAGGTTCCCACTCCCGCAGTTAGAGCCGCAGCCGCAGTCAGAGCCGCAGCCGCAGTAAGAAGGAGAAAAGCCGGAGTCCCAGCAAAGACAAGAAGAGCCGCAGTCGCAGCCGTAGTGCTGACAAGAGCCGAAGCAAGAGTAAAGACCATGCTGAAGACAAGCTCCAGAACAACGACAGTGCTGGCAAAACCAAGAGCCGCAGCCCCAGCCGCCATGGCAGTAAGAGTCGGAGCAGGAGCAAGGAGAGGAGAGCAGAGGAGGAGAAGCGAAGGAGCGTGAGCAGAAGTCACAGCCAGGAGAAGAGACGAAGCCAAGAGAAGAACCTTCTCAAGAGTCGGAGCCGAAGCCGCAGCAAAGGGGGCAGCCGGAGCCGAAGCCGAAGCCGCAGCAAAAGCAAGGACAAGCGGAAGGGCAGGAAGAGAAGCAGGGAGGAAAGCCGAAGCCGCAGCCGCAGCAAAAGCGAGCGCAGCCGCAAGCATAGCAGCAAGCGAGATAGCAAGGTCAGCAGCAGCAAGAAGAAGAAGGAGGACACCGACCACTCCCGGTCACCATCCCGCTCAGTGTCAAAGGAACGGGAGCATGCCAAGGCAGAGTCTGGCCAGAGGGAAGGCCGGGCTGAGGGAGAAAATGCGGGTCCCAATCCAGAGCCCCGAGCTAGGTCAAGATCCACTTCCAAATCCAAACCTAGTCTCCCTGCAGAGTCGCGCTCCAGGTCGAAGTCAGCTTCAAAAACACGTTCTCGGTCCAAGTCTCCATCCAGGTCTGCTTCCAGGTCGCCCTCCCGATCTAGATCCAGGTCCCACTCAAGATCCTAACTGGCTATGCCACACTGGAACTGCCGAGAAGTCTTTTGTACATGTTGGTAGCCGTAGCACAAGAGTGAAGTAGAACACCCTCACCACTGTACATTGAACTCCCCTAATGGTGTGTCTCCAATTGTTCAATCTCAGTGCTTCCTTGGTACCGCCTCCTGGCGCCAGGCCTCCCGCTCCTCCACTGAAAAGCAGCTCCTCAAACCTCCCTTTACTCACAGCAGGACATCCAAACGCCTTGGCTCTAAGGCCTGGTCACGGCTAAAGGGAGCTCAGCACCCCAACGGCTTCTCGGGCTGGAATGATGGCATAGGTAGGTGTGGTGAGTTCAACCGTTTTGCCCTTGAATTGATGCCCTTTGATGTATGCCACGTAGTGAAAGTACAAGTCTTCAGTTTCCCACCACTTTGGTTTCCTATTTTTGGACTTAACAACGTTGTGAATAGCACAGTCAAGAGAAATTGATACTGCATAGCCCATAGGAAGTAAACTGTAGAGCTCCATATTCTGGTATTGTGATTATATTGTTTTATATTAAAAAAGAAAAGAATTTTTTTTAATTTTATTTTTCCCCGTCTTGCAAAGTATAGTGACCCCTGTTTCCATTAAATTTGAATAAAGACTATTTTTGCTTGACAAAATTTCATCGTGCTTGAATCTAAGTAGCATTTCCTGATGTGTCATCTATCCTGCTATTTTTCCTGTGGTGAGGAAACAAGACTTCCCAAAGGACTTTCTCACCCAGTAGAGTGAAGGTGAGTCCTCAGAGTTTTTGATTCTGGGGTTCTCTTGAGAAGCTTGTGGTCAAGCTGAGGAGAAATGAAGCCATCTGGAAAGCGCTTCACAAGCAATCAGTTCTTCGTGTTTGTTCTTGTCGTGGGGCTTCCCACCATGATCCCTTCATTGTAAAATCTGAACTGAAAATCAGGGGGCAAGCTGCTGGATTACCTTCTCCCAGTTGTTCTTGCATTACCTGCTACTTAGCTTAGGAGATCCCTGAGACCGCTTCTCCAACCTGGTGCTTGAGGGTTAGCACAGCAAGGACAGTACTGGGCACCTTAGTCCATGTGGCAAGCGGGGAGGACAAAGCTGCTGCACAGGAGTCTGTTGATCTGTCCCTGGAGTGCAAGCTGTTCATAGAAATACAAAATAACTGTCCCCTTCCCAGAGTAGTGACCTGTCTGTAAATGGCCAACACTAAAGGCGGCCACTGAGGCTTAGGCTTGAAGATGTGTTCAAACAGCACACTGGTTAGAAAGAAAACTGAGCAAACCACCCAGGTTGAAAAGCATAGGCAGTGTGCCAAGGAACATGGGTTTGAGCAATTGGCAGAGCAAGCCCAGCAATGGTGATACCCAGATAAAGGTATGGGAGGGGAGCCAAACTCTGACCTGTCAGCACAGCGAACTTTAAAAGCATTGAACAGGAAAGTGTTCACAGAGCAATGCTGGGGGCCTGCAGGCTGGAAGGTGCAAAATACCAGATGGCATGGAGCATAGTCAAGGCCGTGACAGGAGAGGACATAATGACCAGTGAGGCATAGTCAGTGGCCTGGGCAAGGGATTTGTGGGCAGAAGAGGTGGTGAACTGGCTCAGTTTGGACCATGGGACCCCTAACAACAGTCCATGAACAGTCTGGGCAGCTAAACTGTAGATCTCCAAGACTCTGATGAGCTTCCCATACCTTTATCTGGGCTCGTTATGTGGTCTTAACAAGGTAAGGAATCCACGTCAGTATCATACGGGTCCCAGTATAAAAATACAGGGGTAAAGTGAGGAGAAGAGTGTAAGAATGGGGACATTCGAGGCATTTTAAGTGTGGTTGTTTGGTGTTTGTGTTTTGCTACATGTATGTGCACACCATGTGCATGCCTAGTGCCTGTGGAGGTTAGAAAAGGGTTTCAGAGCCCCTGGAACTGGAGTTAGATTGTGAGGCGCATGTGTGCTGGGTACTGAATCGCAGCAGATGGTTTTGACATCGCGTTGTCTCTCCAGGCCCTACAATTTTTAAAATTCATCTGTATTTCACTCTTATAACAATGTTTCCCATCCCACCTTTCAAGCTTTGTCCATTCCTTTGGCTTCTAAACAAAGGTATGCTTCTAAATTAAGCTTTGTGGTGGACGTGGGGAGTTCACTTGACACATTGATTCTGACACATTGATTCTAACCAATGATCTTTAGGTGCAAACTTACGAAAATCCTGTATGTGCGCAGATCCCTGGTGGTGGGTTTCGCTGGCGGTTCCAAGTGTGAAGCTCTGAATAAAGATACCCAAGAAGGTGTGGAGTCCTCGTCTCACTGCAGGGAAGACACACTCCCTGAACATCGTTAGCCTTGTTCTCAGTGACCCTCTGTCTGTGTGGTCGGTCCCCTGTGGCAGCAAGGAAGCTACATGCAGCATGCTATGCAGCCTCTCCAGCTTTAGAGTACCATTTGGAGGTTAGTTTTGGATGGGTCCTCCCCTCTTCTGGTGGAGCATAACAGTGGTCCTTGGCTCGGATCCTAAGGACTGGTGTATGCCCATTGAGTGCTCACCCTCTTCGGCCACAAGTTTTTATTGTCAAGCAAATCCCTGGGGACTCAGGGACTCTCCTGCCTCCCCAGTGAAGTTTGTCTACAGTCTTCACTTCAGATCGCATTATGTTTCCTAGACATTGGGTCAAAGAGTTAAGTAAGGCCCTGCCCTGTGCTGCGCTGCCCTAAAGACAGTTGATAGGGAAGTCCCGATTTCCAGCATCCCTTCTTACTGTGGGTAGGTGTGCCCATGGATATTGTTTGGTTGCTCGGTTATGATGAAAGCTTAGAGATGGAGTGGTTTAGCCAGCGTGGCATGGTGACAGCTACAGAATTCTCATCTGCAGTGGTGAGTATAACAGTTGACATCTGAGCCCCAATTGAAGTCAGGCAGGTTTGCCACAGGGCTGAATGCGCTTTCCTGCTAAAGACAAGGTGGCACAAGGGGTAGAGTGCTTGGCCTGCATTTTGTTGGATCCCAGATTGCCACAAGGGGGCAGGTGAGAACCAACTCACAAGAGCTATATCCTCTACTCATGGGCACCAGGGTACATGTCCATTGCTGCACTCACACTTGGACTCACAATCACAACATGAGAGCCGGGTGAGCAGGTCTGAGACCTTGTCTCAGTAACAAAGGTTGTGGTCATACAGCTTCACTGTATATTTTATTACACTATCTGACCTTATTTGGGGAGAATCGTGCATTTAGGAAATCAGTTTCCCCCTCCATGTGTTGTGTGGACTGAACTTAGGTCCTAGAGCTTGGTGACTGGTGCCATAGCCTTCTGAACCATCTCAGCCCCTGCTGTGAAGATGGCAGTTGCTCTACCATTTCACCATTAAGCCTATTCTGGGGTTCCCACCTGGCCATAACCAGTCATCCCACAATGCAATGGCAGAAACGGGGCCCATTTTCATCTCAGCAGTGAAAACAGCAGGGTATGCATGCACTACCACCCCCAAATAAGCACTGGAGGGTTCCCAGGAGGCAGTCACTGCAGTCTGCCTTGTTCACACATACCTCTTTCCCAGCGGCCTCTGCTCTCCACCTGTGGGGTAGAGGATGGAAGAGAAAACAGCACAGCCAACAAGCAGCACTGACAAGCTGTTCAGATCACTAGGTCCCATGGGGTGTGGAGGTGATTGGCCCGATTGAAAAGGCAAGACGTAACTGTGATCCATTAGAGACCACAGGAGCCGGGGGTGTGCTCTGGTACAGTGCCTGCCTACCATGCCTGGACCCTGGGCTTGGTTCCCCTTACCATTATATGTGAATAGTTAAAATAGGCACTGACCTTGGGGGGCTAGAGGAAGGCATAACCATGGTAGTCCTAACAGAAAACTGGGGGCCAGGCATCACTCTGAATGCATTTAAACTGGGGAAGTGGAACCAAGCAGATCTCTGATTTAAGGCCAGTCTGGTCTACACAGTAGGTTCCAGAACAGCAGGGCTATCTAGTGAGACCAGTTTCAAAAGAAAAACCTCAACTACCCATATCAGTAATTCTCAGATCACCTCTTGAAAATCAGTAGAACATACTTGAACAGACTCCTGCAGCCAGTTGGATCTAATGTTAATAAAAGACTTCATACAGCTGCTGGAAGGAGTGGCTCAGTTAAGAGCGAGTACTGCTCTTGCAAAGGACCAAGTTTGGTTCCCAGCATCCAAGTCTTAACTCAAAACTGCCTGATCCAACACCCCTGACCTTTGAGGTCACCTGTTCTTATGCATGCTCACACATTTTTGAAAACTCTGGGCTGGGCAGCTGTGGTACACACCTTTAATCCCAGCCGAATTCACAAGGCCGAATCTCTGAGTTTGAGGCCAGCCTGGTCTACAAAGCAAGTTACAGGACAGGCTCCAAAGCTAGATACAAAGAGAAACCAAAAGAACAAAAACTTGGTGACTAGAGCAAAGACTTGTGGGTTTCTCTAACAACCCATGTTTGACTGCCAACACCAACAACTATTGAGTCAGTTCCAGGGGATCCATCTCCCTCTTCTGGCCTCTGCAGGCACTGCACACACGTTATACATACATTATGTTCCAACAAAACACCAATTCCCCAGGGGCTGGAGAGATGGCTCAGTGGTTAAGAGCATTGATTGTTCCAGAGGTCCTGAGTTCAATTCCCAGCAACCACATGGTGGCTCACAACCATTTGTAGTAAGATCTGGTGCCCTCTTCTGGCCTGTAGGCATATATGCAGACAATACGGTATACTTAATAAATGAATAAATTCAATATGGACCACAGTGGCGCTATAAAACAGACCTTAACATATTCAAAAATAGAAATCATGGAAACATTGCTAGAGTGATGGCTGAGCAGTTAAGAGCCCTTGGCTGCTCTTCTAGAGGGACTGGGCTCAGTTCCCAGCACCCACATGTGGCTCCAGCCTTCAGTAGTTCCAGTTCCAGGGGATCTGATACCCACACTTCTGACCTTCATGGACATTGGGCACACAAATGAGCAGGCAACCATACACACCAGTGAGGGGTGGGGACAATGAAAGGTGCTCAGTGAGAAAGGCCTGGCAACCTGGAGTTTAATCCCTGGAGCTTGCGGTGGAGAGAATTCCACATGCCCCTACACACATATGTAATTTTAAAGATTTTTAAAACGAGAAATTTAAGGATGTAACTATGTCAATATTAAATAAGTAATTTTTTAAAATGGATATCAACAGAAGGAATGTCATGAAAAATATTTAAGAATTTCTGCTTTGGGGGCTGGAGAGATGGCTCAGTGGTTAAGAGCATTGCCTGCTCTTCCAAGGGTCCTGAGTTCAATTCCCGGCAACCACATGGAGGCTCACAACCATCTGTAATGAGGTCTTGTGCCCTCTTCTGGCCTGCAGACATACACACAGACAGAATATTGTATATATAACAAATAAATAAATATATTTTTTAAAAAAAGTTTCTGCTTTGGGGGCTCGAGAAATGGCTCAGTGGTTAAGAGCAGTGACTGCTCTTCCAGAGGACCCAGGTTCAATTCCCAGCACCCACATAGCAGTTCGCAACTGTCTGTAACTCCAGGATCCACAACACCCTCGCACAGACATACATTCAGGAAAAATACTAATGTGTACAAAATAAAAAATTATTAAAAAGAATTTCTGCTTTTTAAGACAGTCTCTTAACCCAGGCCAGATTCTAACAGCCTCCTTAACAGCTGGGGTTACAGAACGAGCCACCAGGCCCAGGTAAAAAATATTTTAAACTGAGGAATGTGGAGGGGCTCAGAGTGCAGCTCAGAACCTAGCTCACATGGAGCACTGCGGAAAAACCACGTGTATGGGGCATGACTGTGATCACAGCATGCAGGATGTGGGCACACATAACTTACTGAGATTGGTGACACACAGCCAAAGTAGTCCCTAGGCGAACTTTTATAGTAATCAATACAAGAAAAGAACTCTGCCTTAGAAAACTAGGTGTGGGACTGGACCCAAAGCTCCAGGAAAATATAAAAATACAAGGGTATAAATGAAGCTGGACACAGGAGATTCAGAAAGCCACGAGAATTTTTTCTTTCTTGAAGATCAAATTGGATTGACTAGCCAGGATAACAAGCTCAGCTGTGACACTAGTGTCAGGGCTGAAGACAGGATAGAAGCTGGGACTGCTGTGGACAGTTCTTACCTCACTGGGCTGATGTCCTGGATGAATGGGACTGAAACAAATTTGCCAGAACAGCAAACTCGTACCAAAAGGCCCATCGTGTTCAGGAACTTGAGTCGGCAGCTTCCAGAAGCCAAGCGCCCAGAATACTACCAGTTCTATCAGACAGACACTTGCATTGGGCTGGGGGTGTGGCCTTGCTGGAAGAGTGTTTGGTGTGCACAGTGCCCTGTGTTCGATCCCAGCATAAACCTAGCATGGTCCCAGTTCTGCAAGCAAGGTGGAAGCAGGAAACCAGGAGTGCAGACTCATCCCTGGCTACACAGCAAGCTTGATGCCAGCTTGAGATATGTGATACTGTCAAGATTTTTTCCATTAAAAAAAAAGTGAAATTTTTATGTGTATTGGTGTTTATCTGCACGTGTTTCTGTGCATCATGTATGTGCACTGCCTGCAACAGCCAGAAGAGGACATTAGATTCCCCGAACCAGAGTTATTAACAGCTGTGAGCCACCATATGGGACTGGAACCTGGGTCCATGGGAAGAGCAGCCAGTGCTCTTGCCTGCTGAGCCATGGCTCCAGCCTTCATTATTTTTCCCTTAAAAGGGAATAATCTTAGACCTAAACCTCTCAACTGAGGTTCCCTCTTCAAGTGATAGTAGACCATGTCAGGTTTACACTGAAACTAGCCAGCACAACTGGTATCTATGGTTCTCCCCCTCACACACACCCGTCTGCTCTCTCCCCTTCTCTCCTCTCCCCCTCCATCTCCCTTTCCCTGGCCATCTCCCCCCTCTCTTTCAATACAGTCTCGCTCTAGCCTAGTCTAGCCTGAACTCACCTATTTCCTGTTCACTCGGGTGTTAGACCTGCAGGCATGAGCTGCCACACCTGCCTGTCTGGAAGAACTATGCAGCTGGGTGTCCAGCCACAGAGTGGGGCCCCAAGGCAGCCTGTGCAGCTGGGAAGGTGCTGCTCCCAGCACCCACAGTGACTCAGAACCATCTGTATGGTAGTGCACGCCTTTGATCTCAGCACTTGAGGAGGCAAAGGCAGGCGGATCTCTGAATTCAAGGCCAGCCCGGTCTACACAAAAAGTTTCAGGATAGCCAGAGCTACACAGTGAGACTCTGTCTCAAAAAAAAAAAAAAAAAAACCAGTTTTAGAGGATCCAGTGCCACCGCCCTCTGGTGTATCAGGTCTTGTATGCATGCAGTGCACCATACATGTAGGTAAACATATGCATAAATTTAAAAATTAAAAGCCAACTCTTGATGGCTTAATGATGTAACAAAAAGCTTATATTGGGGGCCAGAAAAGATAGCTCAGCAGAGCCAGGTGGTGGTGGCGCACACCTTTAATCCCAGCACTCGGAGGCAGAGACAGGCGGATCTCTGTGAGTTCGAGGCCAGCCTGGCCACTAGGACAGGAACCAAAAGCTACTGAGAAACCCTGTCTCGAAAAATCAAAAAAAAACACACACACACACACACACACACACACACAAAAAGAGATAGCTCAGCAGTTAAGAGTGCTGAATGCTATTCCAGAAGACCTGGGTTCAGTTACCTGCACCCACATGGCAGCTTACACTGTCTGTAGCTCCAGTTTCAGTGGATCCAACACCCTCACACAATCATACATAGGCAAAACATCAGTACTTGTAAATTTTTAAAACTTATATTGAAAAAAGTTACAATTTAAAAAAAAAATCACACTAATACCACTTAGAGTTGAATAATTAGAAATCTAATGAAATATGTAAAAGACATGAGAAAAACTACAAAACTTCAATGAGATATCCCATGTTCATGTCCTTCGTTCCAACTTGAATTACAGTCAGTACAGTGAAACCTGTCTCAGAAAACAAACCCATTGCCAGGCAGTGGTGGCACACACCTTTAATCTCAGCACTCTGGACACAGAGGAAGCAGATACAGGTAAGTCTCTGAGTTAGAGGCCAACCCAGTCTATAAAGTGAGTTCCTGGACAGCCAGGGCTACACAGAGAAACTCTGTCTTTAAAAATCAAATAAATAAGTAAACAAATTCAACTCAAATGGCATCAATGTCAATATAAAACAAATTAAGGCAGGAGACAGCCTGTTGCTTGCCCTCCAAACCTGATGACCCCAGTTCAACCGCAGGAGCCCAAACAGTGGAAGGAGAAACCAATTCCTGAAAGTAGACCTTTTCTGACCTTTCATACCTGCCCCATGACACACACACACAAACACAAGACCATAAAAACTCTTAGGACACCATGGGAGAAAAGCCCAGATGAAGCTGGGCCTGGAGAGACTGTTTTAGACATAATACAAGTAGCAATTCATATCAGACAACTTGCCAAGTTAGACTTCATTAAAACATACTTATGCTCTGAAAAAAAAAAAAAAAGTGAAGGGGTGGAGAGATGGCTCAGCAGTTAAGAGCACTTGCTGAGTTCAGTTCCCAGCATCAATCTTGGGCGGCTCACACTAACTCCAGCTCCAGAGGATCTGATGCCCACTCTTCCAGACTCCACAGGCACCTGCACTCATACACATATCCAAAATATATAAAGTTCTTAAAACTGACTGAGCAAGAAACCAATCCATTTTTAAAACAGGCCAAAAATCAGAATAGACTGTAGCCGACTTCCTTGGACCGCCAGTCCCCAAATCAAGACACAAGGACTTATTATCAAAGTCATGCCCTAGCTTAGGCTTGCCCCACTGGCTCTCATAATTTAAATTAACCCATATATTTTATTCCACATTCTGTCCCATGGCTCGTTATTACCTCATCTCCATACTGCCTATGCTGCTCCCTCCACATCTGCCTGGCAACTCCCCCTTACCTTCCCAGAGTTCTCTCTGTGTCCAGAAGTCCTGCCTAGCTATTGGTCAGTTAGCTTTTTATTCCATCAGTCATAGCCATACATTTTCACAGTGTACAAATATCCCACGTTTCCCCCTTTTTTGTCCGAATTGAAAGGTTTTACCAGGCGGTGGTGGCGCACGCCTTTAATCCCAGCACTCAGGAGGCAGAGGCAGGCGGATCTCTGTGAGTTCGAGGCCAGCCTGGTCTACAGAGGTAGTTCCAGGACAGCTAGGGCTGTTACACAGAGAAAATCTGTCTTGAGAAAAAAAATTAAAAAGAAAGAAAGGTTTTAACTCTAACATAGTAAAACTATATATAATAAGAACAATTATCAAGTAAGAATTATAGTTACAATATTTAGTCCATATGTGTTTGGCAAATTTGAAGAAAGTTCTGTATTGTCTTTCTAGTACTGGTGAGTCCAAAGTGTTGAACCTAATTCACTTTCCTACCTAATGTGTATTACCAACTCTAATATTTTTAGACCTTCTAAGCATTTTCTTGGATAAATAATTTAAGCTTTTATGCTTCTAAACCTTATATGCTTTATACCTACCTCTCTTATGAAGTTTCTTTTCTGAATTTGGTAACAAGAAAAACTATAGCTAACTATCTACTCTTCAACTCAGAGACCTGAGAAGGCAATAATAGCACCTAAGTAAAGAGGAAATGGAGAGCAAATATTTTTCAGAACTATAAAAATGAAGCAGCTGGCTGCCTAGACAATCACCCAAAGTTCCTCTGTAAGGTTGAGCTATCCATCTTTAGCCTATGGGCCTAGATTATTTGAAAGACGTTCCTGTGAAGCAGGAGTTTTGAAGGACTTTCCTACCATGTCTTAGAAAAGTTTGGCAATCACCTTCTTTTGTGTTCTGCTTGTCCAGTTTGAGCAGCATTCTGTCAGCTGTCAAGGACAGTTTCTTTGCTCAGTGGTAGTTTTGCCACACTGAAAGCAAACTCCATATGGGGGTTCCTTGATGCCCATTATCCTTTCTTGAAGTAAACTGGTGCTACTAGGAATAGATGTGTCTCGCTGTCATGAAAGCCTTATGTTATTAAAACATCTTAAATTCCATATTCTGAAGGTCTCTGAAGTGTGTAGAGACCACCTATCTATAATACACACACACACACACACATATATATATATAGCCTCAAAAACCTACCTAACATGACTTCAAGTTAACTACTAACTGTATTTCTTAATTTTACATTACATTTTTTAATGAGCCGCATAGGTAGAAACCTTAAACAAAGTAGAAACATATAGTATAACAAAAATAACCTTAAATTGGTATCAGTATTCAAGAACATCTTAAACAAGAGTAGGAACATATATAAAGTATGTTCTAAGAAAAATAACCTTACATTTGTATCAATACACCAAAACCATACCAATTTGAGACTATTAGTTGCTTTTTAGTTTAAAGTAGATTTAATAATCTACCCTTTTTTTT